CCTTTGGACTAATCTTTTCCTTGTATCCTGTTCTCTTCATTCTCCCTTGCTCCCGAAGGGATGAGACCAGTGGAGTATCTTAGATGGCTGGGGAGCTGTGACTTTTTAAAGCACATATTTGTGATGTCTTTGAGTTTATCTCTAAAAATATAGATGCTACCTCCCTAGCTGTGAGCCTATGTGGTCATTGGTAAAACTCAACCAATTTAGGCAGAACTATTGGTTATATGTTCAAATGGGAGCCCTGGTGGCAGAGTGGTTAAGAGCTCCACCTGGAAACACTGTGCCTCCCGGACTGTTTCATGGAGTCCTGATTTCCCTTCTTCACCAAGAAATTTCCCTGGTGAGCAGAGTGCTCTGCCCATCCCTCTTAGGACCAGCTTTCTCATTCTGAAGAACATACAACTGTTTTCGTTCTTTTTGCAGTGGTTGCAGCTACTGTATGCTGGACTTGGAACTGTGATCTTCTCATTAGTAAGTTCTTCTCTTCCGCTCTGACAAAGAATAAGGTGTGTGCATTGACAGTGCCCCTCCGCCCTTGTGCTAGGCTGCACTCAGGTGTAGTCAGTAATTCACTGGAAAGCCCTCCAGGAGAGTTGTTACTTCTTAAAGTTCAAATTTAAAACCATCAGCCTAAGGAGAGCTGGAGGCATTGGTGGTTCAGTGGTGTGATTCTCGCTTTCCATGCGGGAGACCTGGTTCAATTCCTGGCCAAGACACCTCAAGTGTAGCCACCTGTCCATGGAGGCTTGGGTGTTGCTATGATGCTGAACAGGTTTCAGCAGAGCTTTCAGAGTAAGATGGACTAGGAGGAAAGTCTTGGTGATCAGCTTCCAAATTTGCATGGCAGCTAATAATAAGGAGATCTAAATGTTCTTCCCAGTTCACAAAAACATTACTTTTCTTGAAAGATAATATTTAAGAAGAGAATTAAGAATCATTTATAAGCTTTGAAATTTATTATAGCAGGGGTGTGAGTTCATCGTTTTTTTTTTGTTTGTTCCTTTTACTTTTTTAAAAAAATTGTGGTAAAAACATATATAACAAAACATTTGCCATTTCAACATTTTTTATGTGTACAATTCAGTTTTGTTTTGTTTTAACTTTTAAACCAGGAAAAATGCTTCAAAAGAGAAACTTCCCACAGGGTATTGGCAGAGGTCGTCGCTAATGTATTCGTGAATCTCTTTCAGTCCATTTAGTCCCATCTCTTGCTGTCACCTTTAAAAATAAAAGTTTTGTTGTAAAAGCAATAATGCCCATGTTTTAAATTTCAAACAATATAGAAAGTCATAAAATGAAAATATCTCCCTCTTTCCTTCCTCCCCCAGAGGAAACTATTGTTAACAATTTCTTGTGAATTCTTTCAGAATTTCTTTATATATATATATATATATATATATTCTCTCTTTTACACAAATATAGTCATACTATACGACTCCTGGTAGTGCAGTGGTTATGCACTCAGCAGCTAACCAAAAGACGGGCAGTTCCAATCCACCAGCCACTCTGTGGGGGAAAGATGTGGCAGTCAGCTTCCTAAAGATTACAGACTTGCAATCCCTATGGGGCAGATCTACTCTGTCCTGTAGGGTTGCTATGAGTCGGAATCGACTCAACGGCAACAAGTTTTGTTTCTCAGTCCCACTATATGTGGAGCTGTGGTAGCATAATGGTTAAGAACTTGTCTGTTCACCAAAAGGTTGGCAGTTTGAATCCACTGGCTGCTCCTCAGAAACCCCATGGGGCAGTTCTACTCTGTCTTATAGGGTTGCTATGAGTTAACATGATGGCAACATGTTTACTATTATGCAATGTTCTGCCCTTTGCTTTTTCACTTAAAAATACTGGTGTCCATGTACAGGCAGATATGAGTCTAACTCATTCTTTTAAAGGGCTGCCTTGTAGTCCATTTTATGCTTTTATCATGTCACGTCTGTCAAGAGTTTTATTTTTTACTTATTTTAGAAATTTCCAAACATACACAGAAATAGTGTAATGAACCCTATATATTACCACCAAGCTTAAAAAATATCCACATTTTGCTTCATTTTGTTCACGATTTTTTTGTTTTGTTTTGGTGGGAAGAGGGCGGGAATTATGTCTCATCTTTTAAATGTTAGAAAAACTTAGACCAGCAGGTTAAGTGTAAGTATGCACATTTCAGCTTTCCTATTTCTTCTCCTATTAAAAGGGAACTGCTTTGTGCTTTTCCTTTTATTCTTACGTTCTCAGCCTTTGTCTGTGCAGCACGGTGGTGTCTTGTGTGTCCTGTTTGGGGCATAGTTTGTTTCTCTCCAGACAGATGTCGGAGTTTATGTTCCCAGTTTGCAGGCAGAGCAAAAACTCTTGCAGACTCAAGCGGGTTTACGCAACAAATAGCTGGAAAGGAGCGTTGAAACAGTTGTTTTTAGGGTACGAGATGCTTAACTACCAGGGTTGTAGGGATGTGGTGGGGGGTGCCAGGCTCCCACATGCCCCTGGGGGCCTGAATACCGGAGGGGACTTCCCTGTGGGCTGGCTGTGTCTTGGATGGTGTCCTGAGACCTGTTCCCCCTGGGTGAGGTGGTCTGCTCATCCTACTCTCCCAGTTCCTGTCCTCAAACACATAACTTTTCCTCAGAAGCTACACTCCTAACCACTCAGTACATGTTTGTGAAGTGGTTAAGATACACTGTCCCCTCTTGTAAGAAGAAATATGAGTCCCTGGGTGGTACAAACCGTTAGTGTACTTGGCTGCTAACTGAAAGGTTGGGGGTTTGAGTCCACCCAGATGTGCTTTGGAAGAAAGGCCTGGTGATCTACTTCTGAAAAACCAGCCATTGAAAACCCTGTGGAGCACAGTTCTACTCTGACACACCTGGGATCATGAGGAGTTGGAGTCAATTTGATACTAACTGGTCTTTTATAAGAAGAAACAAGATTAAGTCAGGGTTTTTGGAGAGGAGGGGAGGAAAAGCTTTCTCTTAGGAAAAGATAGATTGAGGCCAAGAGCAAAGCTGGAAGCTCAGGTACTGCGGTCATTTTTTAGGGTGATCAACGGTCTTGGTTTCCCTGGGGCTAAGAGGCTTCCCAGGATACACAGAAGTCCTGGGCAAACCAATGTGGTTGGTCACCCTAGCTCTTTTTTCCTTCCAGAGATGCTGGAATCAGATGCAGGGAGAGGGGAGGATGAAGGGAAACGGTACTGATGACAGCGATGTTGCTAGACTCATACATCCAATTGCCTGCTTATCATCGCCATGAAGAAGTCTAACAGGCATTTCAAACTCAACAACTCCAAAACCCAACTCTCGATTTTTCTCTCCCAAATTGCTTTGTCCCCAGAGTTCTCCATTTCAGTAAAAGGCAATGTCATATTTCAGTTGATCAGGTTAAAAAAAAAACAAAACTCAAGGTCATTGTAGTTATCTTTCTCTCACATCTCATATCTAAACCATTGGCAAATCCAATCACTTTTCCCCTTGAAATATATCTCCAATCCAACCACTTCTTGCCCCCTCCCTTGCTAGGACCCTCATTTAAGACTCCATCTCTCTCTCACCTGGATTATATCAGTAGCTTCCCAACTGGTCTCCCTGCTTCCTTTCTTGCCCCCTACATTCTGTTCTCTATATAGTAACAGAGTGGTTGTTTAAAATCCTAAATCAGATCCCCTCTCTTCCCTGCTCAGATCCCTCTGAGGGCTTCCCATTTGTTTTACGGCCTCATCCAGCATCATCTCCAAGACCCCAGCTGACTTGATGTGAACTCCCCCTCTGACCTCAGCCCCACCACTCTCCCTGCTCCACCCCCTCTATCCCCTGCAGAGGAGCCATTCACACCTTACACCCCCCAACCCCCCC